GAGAAGAGAACTTTGGATCCCTGGAAAACGCTCTTACCCTTACCACCATCCAAGTGACTGGGATCATCGAGGAATGCCCATTTGATGGGAGAACCCATCAACAGAAGGATTAGAGGGGCTGGGTGGGGACATGAGTCTACAGACTGACACTACCTGAGACATATGAGGGCCCCAGGGGAGAGGAGCTGGCCCCTGCCCAGGAACCCACCCCGTGCTGGAAGGACTTGGCCCTGTCCCTCCTCCTAACCCTCCACCAAAATGTCAGTCTAGTACATGAGGACGCTTAGTTCACTTCATCCTCAGCAGCAGCTGTCTGGGAGACACCTGCTTCTCACCTGACCATCTCATCTTTTCTAGGAGAGGTTAAGAAGTGACTTACCAGGGCCACGTGGCCTGATTAGAAATTGAGTGGAGGAGGGAAGCCAGGGCTGGATGCTTAGGAAGGCCCCTGACATCTCCACCCAGAGCCTGATGAGCAGGAAGAGGCCAGGCTGAGAGTTTACACTTCTAGAGGTCAAGGCTCATGGCTAAACTTTACAAGACTCCATCCTTAAAAATCAAGTGCTGTTCTCTGAGTGCTGGAGGTCTCCAAGGAACTGTATTGAAATCTTCCAAGAGGCCAGAGTTAGGATCGAAAAGTGAGTGGGAGAATGTCAAAAATAAAAACTTCCCAAACAAAGTCTTCTTGCCCCTCAAACGCTTCTTCCCCTCCTCCCTCCAGCCCTGGTCCCCCCTTTCTGTCCTCCCAACAGTGCCCTTCATGGGTTGGGACTGTCACCATGTCAGGGAGATGCCGGGGACAGGAAGCCAAGACCCACCTCCTCAGATGCCCTGCCCACCCATGAGTCCCACAAAGTTTCAAAAGAAACCCAGGCAGCCCGTGGCGGGGGCAGATTCCTAGCCTGTGTTTTGGACAGGCAGTCACACCAGTGGTGGCAGGACAGGGGTTTCCATCACTGCCCAGTCCTACTGGAACAAGCCCAACCTTCCAGATCCTTCCTTCACAGATGGGGAAACGATGGCTCACAGGTGAGGCACATTCGCCAGATGATGTGTTTGACCGTTGCCTTCCCCCTCGAAATCATTCTCAGATCTGCCACCCAGGAAAGGTGACCGGCCTGGGTCACACAGTGCAAAGTGGAGAGAGGGGCCCAAGAGAAGTTCCCCCATCCCACAGCCAGGCCCTTTGTCCTGTGCAGGGGGCCACCGCAGGATTTCAAGGAGCCCGTGCCTTGCAGTCATATTCTGCTGCAAACTGTAGCCCACTTGGGTCCGCTAGTCCACCCCTCACGCCAGACAACTTACTACTGCTGGTCTCAGGTCTGTCCTCCCGGCTCCACTGGCATGGGGAAATAACATCTGAGGACAAAGGTCTGCATGATTAATAGCAATCAAAGGCTTAGTCTGAGCATGGTTCTCACCTTGGAGTTTTATCCGTGGTGCCCAGCACAGAGCTGGCAGATCCCACAAATACTAGCTGGCCTGGAACTTTCTCCTGGCCAATACCCACCCAACTGAAACACTCCCTCCCCAGCAGGAAACCCCCCACCAATTTGATTTACCTGGAGACGACACCCCTCTGCCTTCTCTTGAGGCATGTCCCCATGTCCTTCTCTTGTGGCAACTGGAGGAATCCACCCTTCCCTGCAAGCTTGAGTGAGGACAGGCATCCTGAAATGTGCGGTCAGAGCATCTGGCTTGGAGTTGTAGCTCTGCCTCTTCTCTGAGCCTTGTCACTCCCCCGAATGGGGGTGCTCTGGCCACCCCTGCCCAGCACAGAGAACGAGTGTGTGGTGGGAAGTAGCATCTTCGTTTGCACAGTGCTGCACTCAACGCAGGTCTAAGAGCTCCCATCATGGTTTGGGCCCCAGCAGAGCAAAGGCCAGGTGACTTGAGGCAAGATCCCTTGCTGGGCCAACTGGCCTCTATGAGCGGGGAACATACCCTCCCAGGGAGCAAAAATAGCCCTGAAATAAGGATAAGCCAGCACAGGACACAGGGTAGAACTGCACTTTTGGGGCATACCTGAAGGCAGATGCTGGGAGGAGACATACCCCTGTCCTAACTGGGAAGGGTGACCTCCAGGGCCAGGCCCGTGGGCTGCTGTGCAGCCATCCACATCCCACGGCTCTGATCAGCTTTAAGGCTTTCTTTCTTGAAAGCAGGGCACCTCCCACAGTCAGGATGGGAGGAGAGCCTACCAGGAAATTAAGCAGAGATGCAGCACAGGACTACTGGTTAATTAAGCATCTAACTGGGAAGGAGACACCTGCAGGCACAGGTATCCGGGGAAAGACTTTCCAAAGCAGTTGATGTCAGCCCAGCCCGTCCTCCCGAGGCTGGTGTCCCATCAGTGGCAGGCACTCTGGGACCAGTGGGGGCCTTGGGGACTTGGGAGCCTGGCCTTTAGTCTGGAAATGAGGAAACTCGGGCCCAGAGAGATGACTCGCCCCAGGTCACACAGCAAATCACGAAGACAAGGTCCTGGTTGGATGCGTGTTCCCTGGGCTCCCCTCCCTCCCTGCACCATCCCACCCCACCCCACGCCACCCCAGCCTCTGCCTCCCCCAGAGGCCTCTTCCCAACATCAAGTTCATGTTGTAATCTCTGGTGGGGGCAGCTTTGCTCCAGAGCTCCTCACCAGGAGATGCCGTCCCTGGGCCACCAGCACTCTTCATGATGGCAGACACCCCTGGATCTTCTGACACCCTCAAAGGACCCTGTCATGGGTACCAGACACGAGGAGTGGCCTCGTCTCCACGGGAGAAACACGTAACGGGAGCAGGTGCTGAGCACGAGCAGCTCAAGCTCCCACAAGGGCTTAGCCGCCTTCCGTCCCCGGGGGCCTGGTCACAACGTCAGCTGTTCATAAAACCAGTCAGCAAGCAAGTTCTTCACGCCAAGCAAGCCCAAGAACTTACTTTATACCGCATTTTCCTTTTTTTTTTTTTTTTAAGTGTCATGCTAATCTTTGGTAATGCTGTCAGAAGACTTCAGGACACGTCCCCAGGATGCTTAAGTAAAAGACCAAGTAGGTCTTATTTAGAAATATTCCCATATGCAAATTAGAGCTAATGTTCATCAAAGAAAAAACAGCAATTAACTCCACCTAAACAAGAGGATGCCACAGAATGCAAGTTTGCTGAGACTCCAGGATCTGTTTTTAGACTTTTATTGTTAGAGGAGGACCAAGGAGGGACACTGAGATTAATAGCTGTTCCAACAATGCCTGAGGCTCAGGCTAGGGTTATTATAGGACAGGACCTTAAAAGGAACTTACTGTGCACACAATGGGGAGCCAGGGACGGTTCACGAGCACAAGAACGACTTGAATAACTCAGGATCTAACCAGTTTTTGAAGGGCCTTGAAGGTTATGCTACCTCATTTCTCAGGCATGGCAGGGTCCCCCCCGGTCGCAGGATGGGGTCTGTGCCCCCTGCTCTTCCACACTACTGTGCCTTTGCCCGTGCTGTGCCTCTGCCTAAAATAGCACCCACCTGCTCCACCAAGCCTGCTCTCAAAGATTTCCCAACACCAGTTCTTCGACGAGACTCCATCACTTTCTTTCCAGAGTTTGATGTCCAGTAAAATGCCCCAGGAGTCACCTTGGACTCAGGCCTTGCTTTTCTGAGAAATGCAAACATGTCTGAGCACATGAGCACAGTGCTTGGCACGGAGTGGGTGCCGGTAAATGCATCACGTCGAGTTCTCATAGGCACCCTAACCAGTAGGGGCTATTTACAATCTCCGACTTAAAGGTGGAGAGGTGAGGCTGAGAGGCGAAAAACCACTACCCACCTGTGCATGACAGAGGCTGGTCCCAGATGTGTGAGATGTCATGGCCTCAGCAGCTTCCAAGTTCCACCACGCTGTTCTATGAGGGCAAGAGTCATCCGCTCTTGCCTCTCTCTCGGGGCCCTAAAGCAGAGAGGTGGGCAGGTGCAGGGCCACGGAGGCCCAGGCATCCTGTATCACTCTGCGTGTCCCCATACCTGGCAGTCTCCACCTGAAGTACTGCCACAAGAAAAAGGTGTGGACTCAGTTCCCTGGTGACGTTCTCATCGTAGGGTCCATCCACTCCAGGATGAAACGTCACGAGCACACTCCTGGAGTCTGAAGATGGACCAGTCACCAGTCTTATGGGAAACGCCCAGCCTGGGCAGCTCCCAGCCCTCTTGCGCATGGCACACTCGACCCTGCCAGGAGAGTGCCGTTGAATAGCCAACGGATGGTGGCAGGTTTTCATCACAGATTCGGATTAGTTTCCAGGGACACACCAAATGCCTGCATTGAATGACCCCGTTCCCACTCTGGCAAGTTCAGATGCGCCTTAATTATGGCAGTGCACAGCCATTTGGGCAAGATGCTGAGACATCTGACTGCCTTTATTCTGTGACTGTCCTCCCCTCTGCAGGGGCTGCCCTACATTTGCTGCCACTACGACCAGGGCCATAGAAGGTTTGGCCCCCAGTATGTTCACCCACGACAGAAACAAAGACCAGGGCAGCCCGGAGGAGGATGTCACTGAGTCTATCAGGGCAAAAGGGTCACAGGCAGAAAGGAGGCATGAGATGCTCTGTCCATACCTCCAAGCTGGGCAGCAACAGGGAATCCTTCCAGGTGGAGGGAACAGCACAGGCAAAGGCAGAAGTGGGAACCCACGTGGACAAACTTTCCTGATCAAAGTGAAAGTTTCCTTGGCCACTGCAGGTAGGCTGCTTCCTGTTACCAGAACTGACAAGGCTATGCTATAGAACTTGTCAGAGCCAATAGCTCAAGGACAGAAGTCACAAATTTTAGCCCTTAGTGACCAAGAGTACTGCCATAACAATAGATTACATTATGATTACTAACAAGGAAGGGCTTGGTAATCCTTACCACCTACCAGATGCCAAAATACCCCAACTTCTTTGCAGAGACCCTTACAACAAGCATTTCTCTGTGCTTTGTGTCTATTTATAGCTGGACCATCCCCACCCAGTGTTCAGGGGATGATGCTCGCCCAGCACAGAAGAGGTCCACGTGAGAAGTCAAATCCCGAAGCCTTGCCCGGCTTTGGCAGTGAGAGCCAACATCCATGGACGCCTCTCTTGAATCTGCAGTTAGTTCCCCTAACGGAGGAAAACAAGATTTAATATGACTTATTTATCCACCATGAAAGCAGTAACCACAGAAATCCCCAGAAAGCCAAACGTCAAATGTATAAATCATGGCTACACAACATCAGCTACATTGTTTTCTTGCCAAAAATTCCTTAACCTGAGGAAACAAGTAGACAGAGCCGATCCTGGGGCGTTCTCCAAGACGCCAGCCTGGGTTCTCAAAGCATCATCGTGAAAGACAGGGGTGTCCTGGGTGGGAAGTCTGGGATGAGGAGACAAACAAGCATGGGACATGATCCTGGGCTGCATCTTAAACTCACAAAAAAGCCCTGGAGGACGATTTTGGAGCAATTGGGGGATTTATTGGATAATATTGTATAAATGCTAAATTTCTTAGGTGGAACAATGGCACTACTACGTAGGAGAATGCTCTCTTTCATGGCAGATAGATAACTATTTCTTTGGCTGACCCACCTAAAAGTTGCAGAAATTATACTTTGTCTTTCAAATTTTAGTGTGGTTGTGGGAAGGGAGAGAGGACACCAAGGAAAGGTGGTGTCGACCTGAGGCTGGGGGTCTGGGTGACAGGTTAGGGAAGCTCATCAGACTGTTCTTCCAACATTTTTCTGTAACTCTGGAATTTTCAAAACAAAGTCTGGGGGAATCACAACCACAGACTTGTTTTCCTGAATCGGCAGCCTCTATCAGGGTGTGGTCAAGGAAGAACCGCATAGCAGGGGTTCTCGCTTCCATTTCCGGGAGCCCAGGAGGGAGCGGGCCTGGCCGCGTGCCAACCATCGTCCTCTCTGCCATTGCTTGTTTCTCTCCATCTTCCCAGCTCCCCATTCCCTGCCAAACTAGATGATTTTGGCTTGCTTTTTGGTGGCTCAACCTTTAAATGTGCCCAGTGGTCAGGAACATCCAGGCCAAATGTCTTTTTGGGGCAAATTCATGCTGTGCCGAGTGCCCATGCGTCTTGCCCACTGCCCCACTGTGCTGATGAAGAAGCAACAGAGGCCCTGGGAGTCAATGACCACCAGGAGCTTGGTGGAGCAAGACAGGACAACAAGGGCCCTGCCCTGCCCCCACTTCCTCACCTAGGATGCTTCCAGGGTCCCCGTGCAGACCACGACTCTGGAGGAGGAAGCACACTTTAGACCCCCAGGCAGCTGGCCTGCAGGGGACAGGCCCCAAGTCTCAGCACTTTGAAGACACAGTGCTTCACAGGGGACAGCATCCATCGCACTGATAGGATGGACACATTCTAGCACACACCTCCCACCTTGCTTGGAGGCCCTTAGTGGATATCTTAGGACCTATTTTAAAAAGAAGGTTACAAAAAGAAATGGAGCCATAAACCTCAGTGACAGTGATTTTCCTTCCTTGACCATTGTCTTCTCCTACCCTCCCCCATCCAATGCACACAGGCAACAGAGGCCTCTAAATAACTGTTCCCTCCCGCTTCCAGATGCAAGTGATTGTCACTGAGAATCGGACCCGTAAGGCCTTCAGACATGGATGGGGCAGAGAAAACTGGCCTGCCTAGGCTTATCTGTGGGCATCTTAGTTACTGTCCAGATGTTCTCTTCATCAAGGCCTGTGTGCAGAGAACAAGCAGGTGAGCCAAGATTAATCAATCTCCCTGTTTTAAGGGTAGGATTTTAATGAGTACCTCCCAAGGAGGCTCTTCAGATAACGATCGACGTCCATTTGCTTTCTCTCCTGGAAGGATTATGGACCCAGTGGGGACTCCTGGGCTGCAAAGGACCTGCTGTGATCATGCCCAAATTCAGGCATTCCCCTCCCGATCCGCCATGCACTGTGGGAGCACACAGTTGCCTCAGAGAGCAGGTTTAAATTTAGAGCACCGGGCAGCTTGCCGTGCTTAAGGGACCGCTGTCTTGGTTTCAAGATGGAGTGGTACAGGCAAAAAGAACAGATCTGATCCAGCTCTGGGGATGACCAGGTATTTTAAAACCTGGAAAGATACTTGGTTCACTCCAAGGTAAGAAAAGAAGAAAGTCCGACAAGCCAAGATAGCACCTTCCACCCTGTGTGGGTGTGATGAAGATTAAAGTGGGATAGTCTCCACGCATTGAGCCCAGGGATCTTAGGGATGATCAGTGCCACTGGCCACCTTCCTTCTGTCTCTGATAGAGTGGAAAGATGAAGATTGAGAGCCCTTAGATTTCTGACTCTCACTTGACCTCTTTTCAGCTAAGTATCAAGGCATGTCGAGTTTTAGGGGCTGGCTGGTGGGCCAACCTCCCTGATTCTGCTGGAATACGTGGCTCTTAGCTCATTCTAACAGAAGCTGAATCCTATATCCAAACACTCTGGTGTGATGTCATCTTCCCTGCTGAGTGGGCATAGTTAACTAGAGGAAAGGTATGAGAATCACCTGGCTAAAAAACAACCAGGTGCAAGACGGAGGAAGAGAGACTTGGGCCTGAGACACGAGAGGTCCGGCAACAAGGGATCTTTGGTCATTGCTGTTTACAGCCTTCTAAAGCAGCCTAGAAAATGGGAGAAAGGGAAACCTATGAAAAGAGCTAGATCCTGGCTGTGTGACCTTAGGCAAGTGTTCACCCTCTCTGGACCTCAATTTCCTTCTCTGAAAATGATGGATTTCAGTGAGATGACTCTGACTAAGCTTCCTCCTGGCTCTGAGGATCTGATCTAATGCTTATCGAGTGGTGGAGATGTCAGCAGAGATCTTTTATCAAGAAAGAAGACCCCTGGAGACCCTTAACTTGGTCCCTGCCCCAAGATATTGGATGTGCCTAGAGAACTTGGCTGGAGACCGTGGTAGGGAACAGATGGACCATCTGAGAAGATGACCATCACAAGGGAAGAAAGCCAAGGTTCACACCCTCCTCTAAACACTGAGCATAAACTAGGATGTTTAGCTGTGGAAGAGAGACTCAGTGGTCTTCCTTCAGGGGGCTGAACTGGTAGCAAGGAGCAGAAGGTAGGAGGAAATAGAACCCAGACCAGTTGTGAGTTACCTCAGATACTTAAGTCAGTGGTCACCACATGAGAAAACTTTATCCTATATTCCTTATTTTTTAAAAGTCAACTCTGTGAAAATATAGAGCATTTTTCTGTATTTCCCTGGGAAGAGAGGAGGTCCTTGTTACTTGAACCATTCAAGCAGAAGTACGGCCCCCACATGACCACTGTGCACAGATACTTCAGTGGGGCAACCCACTCTGTGTGAAGGGTTGAGCCAGTGTCCCTCTGCCTCCCCCTATGGGGCCTGGCACATGCCCCTGTGGGGAACAGCAGGCACCCTCGTGTGAGGGCTGTTAGGACACCTTGGTGCGCTGGAGACAGCTCCTCAGGCCCTTCTGGGGTCCAGGCTGAGACTGTGTCTCAGTTTTGGCAAGGACCAACCAGCTCTGTGACATTGAACAAATCACTCATCTTCGGTGTCATTTATATATCAGATTATCACCCACACCCCCCATTTGAGGGTACATCTTACAAAGGTTTTCACGAGAACCCCCACATTTATCCCAGGCAGCCTCCTCCAAAGCATAAAGCACTTGGCAAATGCAACAATCTCTTCCAAGAGAAAAATAAGTTAAAAACAACTGCTTCTATTCTCTGGACACACTTCAGGGCCCTAAATAGGACATTCCACAAAACAAAAATCTTAAAATGAATAAATTGATAAAGACCTTTAAGCTGGAGCACTGTCAACTTTGGCCTAGAGAATCTGAGGTTCGCAGACTCCTTCGAAGGCCCTGTGTTCTAGACGAAGGGGAAATTTCAACAAGGGATGTAGCATTAAAGTACATGCACAGCCTTTTCAGAGGAGTCTTGAGTGCTCCTGCGTTTCGGCCCAGTGGCCCAAATAGCGTTCAGGTGCTGTCTCAAAGAAATCCTGTAGGTCTACTCTTTCTAGGGAGCAAAGCCTCCTTTCTGGGAGATCTCGCTGGGGCCTGAGACAGGCCCGTGAACGTGCTCCTTCTGAGTAGTACAGCCAAAGTCCATTTCCATCCAAAAGCCATGAACTTCCAGTTTACGGAAAAAGGGAGTGGAAGGATGGGTGAATGGGTGATTTTTAGAAATGGCAGAGATGGTAATGAGGGAAATTAAAGTCCCCTCTGGGAATTGGGAGGTCAAACTGTCCTTTATTCCTGCCAACCTAGGGGCCTCCTATGTACTATATTCTACAGCCTAAACTGCCCCCCAAGAGGTTAGCAGCTCTTCCCTTTGGAGTGTTTCCCTTATTCAGAGTGGGAAAGAATTTCTACACTGCTCAAAATTGTCCCCTGAGATTGGCAAGTTCCCAGTAGGCCAAGACACAGATCCTTGCCTCTAAACTCTTCCTGAGACCAACATGAACTTATTTACAAATTAAATGCAAGTAGAGACAATCTTTCTTGAAATATATATTTTAATGAGGAATACCCTGTCACTTTTCATTTAGGACAATAAGAAACCACATCCACATAATAGCCACGCTTCCAAGCATTCCAAAACTAATCCTTATTCATGCAGGTAGATGCTGCACAAAATCATCAGTAGGAGGGAGATAATAGACACTGTGGTTCCAACAATTTTCCAGTTTCCCCTAACAATTCCAGTTTCACGGTAAATTGTTGGAAGTGGTGGAAGTAGAGATGATAAAATTAAAAATGTCTCTAATAAATTAATATAATTGGCTTTCGATTATTCCATTGCTAGTTTTGTTTTCTTAAAGTACATGCTTTTTAAAATTTTTTGAACTGGCAAGCTAAAATGATCCAGGTTGTCTTGCCTGCCCACCCCCTAAAAAAATGTTAATATAATTTAGAAACTAGCATTTAAAAAATATTATCATGACCCCATCTGGGATAAAGACTGCTTGTGAAACATGCTTGATTTGGCACGATCAGAAATCAAAAACCTCGTAGGTTTTTTTTGTTTCATTTGGAAGCAGCCAAAAGCAGGCTATGGCAAAATTGTTATGGGAAAAATACCTGATACTTCCATTTTGTCACATTACACACACACACACTCACACCATACACAGTCACCCAGTCCTTGGGGAGAAAGGAGTCAGGTCAGAGACCCCACTACAAGTGGGCAACCGAAGACTCTCAGCCTGGTGTGCAACTTTGGGTTGGGTCTCCTCTCAGCTGTCTCCGTGGTCTCGGTCTCACACCTGTCTTGGGAAGGCCACCCTGGGGATGGGGCAGGTCGGGGGAGAAATATAAGGCATACTCTGCTGGGAAGGGGGAAGAAATCCATGCTTCATGCTCAGATTTGAGTTTCAGAGGAGGATGGGCCTTTTGTTTTCCCTTGGGCCTGCTCTGTCTGGGTAGAAAGGTGGAGAGAAAATGAGACCAAGAGACCAAGAAAGGAGAGAAAGTAATGATGACAATAATAATAAATAAATAAGAAAGGACGAGTTGGATCAATGGAACTTAATGTTAACTATGAAGAATGATTTTCCTGTTTCCCTCCCACACTTAAATCGACCTTCGACGTCTCATCAGCCTGTGGTGCTCGGCGGTAAAGCTCTGTAACCCAGGAGAGACAGAGCTCATAGGGGACGGAAAGAGGCTGTTTTTTAATGTGCTTGGTGAGATCTCCTCGATCTTGGAAGAGATGGATGGGGGGGGCCCGGCACTGGCGGCTTCCGGCTCTGCCTCGGGGGGGTCATCACCGTCCTGCTGCGAGTGGTAGCACGTGCAGGTGCACACAGACAGCAGATCGGCGAAGTCCAGCCAGTACCTGCGCCGGGACGGCCGCTCCTCCTCCTCGATCTGGACGGCCGTGCTGCCTTGGTTTCCGGTGAGGGACGGCCTGTCCTCAGCATCACGCCGCTCGTCCTCGCTGTTCATGGTCAAGAACCGGAGGACGACCAGGTTGAGGAAGGCTCCGATGACGGTCAGCCCCACCAGGATATACATGAAGCTAAAGGCCACGTAGACTGGCTTCTTCTGCAGCGCGCCCCTGCTTTGCAGGGCCACGTAGTCCCCAAAGCCGATGGTCGTCAAGGTGATGAAGCAGTAGTAGTAGGCATGGAAGAAGCTCCACTCTTCGCACTGGGAGAAGGCGGCGGCCCCGATGCACAGCGTTCCCATGCAGGAGAAGAAGCCCACGGTGACCATGTTCTCCATCGACACGTCGGTGTTGCGCAGGCCGCAGCACTTCTTAAGGCGCTTCAGCAGGTAGCGCACGAAGGTGTTCATGCGCTCACCCAGGCTCTGGAACATGACGAGGGTCAGCGGGATGCCCAGCACAGCGTAGAACATGCAGAAGGCCTTGCCTGCGTCGGTACCGGGAGCAGCGTGTCCATAACCTGGGGAGGGACGAGAAGAACAGGAAGAAGGGTGAGGAGAATGCTCTTGAGGTGGGGGCATGGGGTTCTCCTGGAGGGAGAACCAATTAAAAAAAAAAAGTCACATGAGTGTCGGAGCCATTGCAGTAGGGAGCGCTTGGGGCATGCTACAACCTAAGAGGAAAGAGAAAACATGGGAGAACCGATAAAATATCACCTGGGATTTGGCAACAAGGATTTCTGATGGCATGCCACTGTTGTCTTAGAGTAACACAAAGTTTTAAAAATAAAACATTCACTACTGTGGAACCAAGCTCAAGGGAGAAAATCATTTATGCCCACCATGGACTAACAGTCAAAAAATTAAAATTCTAACTGCTGTGTGCCTGGCACTGTGCTGAATCCTTTTCTGTACATCAACTCATTCTACCTCCATCACCCTATAAAGCAGACATCATGGTTCCAATACCACCGACCAGAAAACAGAACTATTATTTAACAGCAAGTTTGATTTCTTCAGAGTTGGGATTTGAGCCCAGAGATTTCAGCCACCAAGAAGAATGGGGCTCAAAAGCAGTGACTTAGAATCAAGAGAGGTGATGGCGGAGGGAGATAGAAATGCTGCAAGGACAGGAATTTCTATCTGTTCTGTTCACTATTGCATTCCCTGGACCTAGAAAGTAAAATATTTCTTTATTAAACAAATTTGTACCACTATATGAATGTAGACTTGATAGAGAAGAAACAGTCCTTGAAGACTATATGTAATATGTAAATATTTCTGAAACTCTTGATGCAATTTTTTTTTTTTTGAGACAGTCTCACTCTGTCGCCCTGGGTGGAGTGCAGTGCTGTCATCACAGCTCACTGCAACCTCCTGAGCTCAAGCAATCCTCCTACCTCAGCCTCCCAGAGTGCTAGGATTACAGACATGAGCCACCACACCAGGCTGATGCAATGTCAACCCTGTATTTCATCATATTCAAAATGAGGATGCTACTTGCAGGGTCACCCAGGTGGTCAGGGATGATGCTGGAAGCAGGATAGTGTGCCCACTGTGGCAGAAGGAACACAGGATTCAGTAGGTTCTAATTCAAGTTCTGGGACTAATACTGCCCAGAAAAAAACCTGGATCATGGACAATATTTGGATGGAGAATTTAAAGGATGAGCCTTGTCTTCTAACACCTGAAATCCTGTCCCATCAAGAAAGGCTTCATGAATGTGACCCCACACCACATGCTCATGGTCACAACCAGTTACATTACCTTGGGCCCTAGACAACTTCTCCCAACCCAGGTTTTTTATCTGTCATATGCAATAATAGTTCCCTGGAGGGGCTGTTGTGTGGATCTGCTGAGATCAGAGAATACCTAGCCCTGGGCCTGATCCACAGCTAGGACCTGTGAGACCTTAAGACTTTCACCCCTACCTGCAGGAAGCTCCCCATGACTGCTCCAGCCTATACTTCTCTGCCAGGCTTCAGTCTGCCTGTGTCTTTCCCTTGGCATGAACATGTGCCAAGACCCACTTGCCCCATCTCTCATGAGAGAAGTGACGTCACACGTTTGCCTGTGGAAGGTCTCTTCCTCACCCTCAATCCCACTACCCTAGCCCTCACTGAGCTCTGGCCCCTCAGAAACCCTTTAGTCCTTACAAGAGGAGAAATTACAACATTGGAGTCAGGCCAGGAAGGATGGGATAGGGAGATAGATCTTTGTGCTCCCTTTCCTGTGGATGAAAATCCAATCTGAAACCAAAGATTGTATGTTCTCACTTATAAGTTGGATCTATGCATGGTCAAACAGAGTGACTTAATGGACATTGAGCCTCACGAGGAGAGAGGAGGTATGGAATAAAAAATTACCTATTGGGTAAAATATACCCTATTCAGGTGCTGAGTATATTTAAAGCCTTGACTTCTCCACTATGCAATTCATCCATGTAACAAAAAAACACTCGTACCCCCTAAATCTACTTAAATAAAAAAAGACTATCCAATCTGAAGAATAAAGCCTTGGGGATATATAAGACAATATCAAAAGGTGTCCCATAAGGAAAGGAGAAAGCAAATGAGACAAGAAAATAGAAGAAATGATGGCTAAAATGAACAAAATTTGGTGAAAGACACAAATTTACAGATTCAAGAAGCTCAGAAGGGCAAACATAAAACTACAGCCCGGAGTCTAACTGCAGAAAGCACCCAGAGAGAAACAACAACACTGCTGACTTCTAATCCTGAACAATGGAGGCCAGGAAACAGTGGGATCAGATCTTTGAAAGCTAAAAGGCTGGTAACCTAGAATTCTAGATCCAAAGAAAACATCTTTCAAGAATGATGACAAAGACATTTTCAGATCAAATAAAACTAGGAGAATTCATTACCAGCAGATCTGTACAACACCATTACTGAAGAAGTTCTGCCTGGGGGCAAGGCTGCCAGATAGAAACTGGGGTCTTCAGCAAAGAGCATGTACACAGGCAGGGTGAATACAAAAGATGCAGGCGTGGAACTCCCACTACATCACCATATAGCTCACCTATGGAACTGATACAAAAGCCAGATGGATGTTAGAGGATAACAGTAGATTGGTGGAAACTTAACAGTAATGCTGACAGTTCTGGATATATTTACTGGAGGAAATCAGCATTTTCTGGGTCAAAAACTGTATACCAGGTGGCAGGTCCTCCCCGTCCCTGCCAGTAAAGAGGATCAGAAGCAGTCTGTCTTCATGTGACCTGGACAGCAGTACACATCTCAAGGTTATGTCAATTCTCCCGTCCGTCATACTTCAGAATGAAAGAACTTGGTCATTTCGACACCCCACAGTATATCCCACTGGTTCATTGCATAGGTGACATTCCTCAGTAAGACACGTGCATGAGAGAGAATGGGAAATGAATACCACCAAAGTTCAGGGGCCTTCCCATTATAAGCTACGGAAAGCACAGCTGTATTCACTAGCAAATGCCGTTTATGCGGCGTGTGTGTGCATGGAGAGTATATTCAAGGCACACCACATTTATATATATGCCGTAGAAACTGCACACACATTTCCATCACACAGTATCTACAGATTGTAGAAAATGCAGTGGAGAACACATAAAACACGCATTCTGGTCATACATGACTGGGAAGGTAACTGCCAAGCCCCTCCCATGAGGAGAAGGGCGTACAAATCTGATGCTCCCACAGCACCTGAATGACAACTCAGGTCCCACGGGATTTCTTCCTTGAATGAATGTACCTTAGGCCTCCTGGGTTGGAAGATGCACTCATCTGCTCAGGAGGCCCCAGGGAGCCAGGCCCAGTGCTGCACACACAGCAGCTGTATCCCAAACACCCTCTTCCCTGAGGTTCCAGGACACCCCGAAGGGAGCTATCCTGAGTCACCTGGCAGTCACTTTCACACGATTACCTGTCCCAGCTTCACCGGCCCTGCCCAGCCCTCGGGTCACAGCACTTGTCATCGCCCCCAACCTCCAGCCAGTGGTGTTTGCTGAGCACCTGTGGCCTGCGTGGGGCGATCCCAGTGGGAGGCGACAGTGTGGTAGCCCCACCCCACAGGGCCCAGTATTGGGGCTGATGAGGACACAGCTTTCAAATCAAGTGCCCGTGTGGCTCTTCAGCCAACAATGTCTGGGCATGAGGAAATGACAGCCTGCTCGCCTCACTTTGCACCTCCTTCCAGCCCCAAAGTTGGGGTAGAAAGCTGGGGCTCCCAGGGCAGTACCACCCAGGCTGCACACCTCACTCCCCCACAGACACTGACTGGCCCCACTGGGCACTCACAGCCACGGCCACCTTGGGCCAGACCACAAGCTCCCAAGGAGGGCAGAATCCACTCCTGCCTCAGCTCTGCATGAGGCGGCTCTCAGGCAGGCCTGGGAAGATGGCAGCCATGTGCACAGTGGGACATCTCTCTGACACTGAGAGTCCCAGCCACTCCTGAGACCTCGAAGATGCTGGGGGCAACTTTGCCCAAGACGTTGCATCAACCAGCCTGATTTTCATGGCCCCTTTAATATACTTAGCAGGTCTCTTTGATCTGTCCTGGGAGAGGCTTTGCAGAGAAGAGGCCTTCATCTCTCTGCTGCAGCTGGCTAACAAAATGAATAGGCTCTGTGTTCCCTAAGGGAAAAGAGGCAGAGGATAATAAAACTAATCATTTCTATCGGGTCTGGGGCTCCCTGAAGAGCCAGCTGTGGCTGGAAGGCAGCGCTCAACTCGCAAGATGCCTCGCTCCCCACTGGCTCCTGTGAGATTTCCCAGAAGCGTGACAGCCACCAGGTACAAGAAGCTTCCCAAGCCGGCTCCTGTTCTGAGTATACGGTATTTCATTTAAAGACACCGTGTGCATCCCATGGGCTGTCCCCACTGGGAAAAAGCAAGTAAGGCAGCCTGGGCATGGTGGATTGTAGACTGGCCCCAATGTTCCAGAACTGTCTGTGGTTCCCTCCTGTCCCCTGGCAATCTAGGCCCATCAACACCTGGCCATTTCAGTTTGCAAAGCCTCCACCCTCTGTTGTGGAGCACACTGGGGAACAAGGTGGGGGCCCTGTGCCTTTCTGCTGCTGCACCCAGCCCTTCTACTTGGGAACGTCCTGACCATCACCCCACTCATTTTTAAGGCCAGCTCAAAAAGCGCCCCCCACAAAGCCTGCCCTCATCCCTTGGCCAGATACCATCAAGCTGAGCTTTGAATTCCCACCGTGACACAGGGGAATGGAAATTGGCCGCTGGCGTCAGGTCAATCTGGGTTTGGCCCTGGCTCTTCCACCTTGGCGACTGAACAGCCACCACCCTTGCCATTCCTCCTCCTTCCCTTCCGTCATGCTCACTGAGATGCAGACCTCCCAGGAAGCCTGGGCTTTTCCGTGAGCTGCAGCAGCCATCGTGGTCAAGTGGTGGGTGAGCTGTCTCCCCCAGCTGCCCGGGGGCAGACTGCCCAACACAGGGAAGGAGAAGTCCATGCATGTACTTGAGCATCGAAATTTGCTGCCGGAAAAGAGTGAAATATT